TCGCGACAATCACGAATGTATTATAACAATATCAAGCTGCTAGGCTAGACTTATAAATTTATCAGAAAAAGATGTTGAAAAGCTTTTTCAAAGAAAAAGAAACTTTTCTTTAAGAAAATATATGTAGAATGAAATTAAATGCAAATTCATTTCTATTAAAAAATTTCTTTTAAATAATCATTATTTTAGAGTTACCAATTATCGTTTTCTTAAATCTTATGCTCTTTGGAAAGAAATTTCCCTTCCAATGTTATTTAATTTTTTTGAAAAATTTTAAAACTATTCAAGATTTTTGAAGTTGATGGTGATGCGACAATATGCAAATTTTTGTCAAATCCATTACGATTATGTTTGTCATTTATCGGGAATTGCTAGAAATTAATTAGCATATCAATAATTGCCAAAAATTGATTAACATTTCCAATATTTTTAATCATATTTTTGAGCTAAAATTATTTGCCTAAACTATTTTGAACGCTATTCCTTTTCATTTAATGATTTAATTTTTTTAACAAACAAAATTTATCGTTACTTTTCAAGTTGTCAATTTTCTCAAAAAAAAAAAATGGAAATTAATGATTCAATAATAATGTGTTTGCGTGGTTATGAAAAATGGAGGAAAAAAAGATAAGGAAAGGGAAATTCTGCTATTTAATATTTTATTGTAAAAATCCGGATTCCAAAACTTTTTAACCTAAAAACCGGAAATTAGCTGATAATTTAACATACTATATCAGTATTAGATTCTCGTCTAAAGAAAAATTGCCGTTGCAATAAATGCTATAAAACAAATTTAAAATTTATAAAATTCTAATTTTAGATCATAATGTGGTCTCTATTAATACTCATTCATTTAACGTTTGTTATCAAATCTATTTTTGGCCAAGCTCAGATTAGACAAATACCAAGTCACTTCCTTGAAAACTGTGATCAGGCTCCGACATTAGCAATTCGTACGACATGTTTAAATGTAAGCTATTTTGACAATATTGTAGCAGCTATTAACAATACTTTTAATTTTTTTTTCAATCTTATATTCAAATTTAATGATCAATCTTTAGTTCGGTGAGGTTCAATAATCAATCGTTATTTCATGATGCATTCAATGATGATCAATCAGACAAATTTTCCACTTCAAAATGATTCCATAAAAGTTGACAAGAAAATTCCTTGCATATTTTTTTTAGCTTCAAAGGATGGCAAACAATTCGAGGAGAAATTTCGCGCAACAACGCCAAATCATAATTCATCCACCCGGAATTCCGGAACATTTGAAACCTGGTATAGTAATGCCTGGTTCAAGAGGTCAAGTTGCAAGTAATCCATATGACTGCATGACACTCACTTGTCTCTGTCCTTATTTCTCGGTAAATTGATTATTACATCTGCAATGATTTATAAATTTCAAAATTTGTCAAATCATTTCAAATTAATTTTAAACTATTAATATTAACATTTCAATTATCGTCGAATTTAAATTTTTTCTACAGGGTGGTATTGATCCACAAAATCAATGTGTGCTACGAAATGGCCAAATTATAACAATGGCATACCGTAAGGAATACCGGATGCTTACCGAAGATGAGCGATTACGGTACCATAATGCTCTTAGTGCATTGAAACGAAGCGGAGAATATGATCGAATTAGCATGGAGCATCAATCAGTTTGTTATCTTTTCTTTTTTCTTTTTAAAGAGGAATTAATTAAAATCTTAAAGAATGATTGGATAAAAATGGTATTAATATAATGAAAAAATTAATTTTAATTTTAATCAATTTCTTTTGAATTTACCAATCAAGTATCTAACAAACAAAAAAAAAAAAAATACGCTCATCATCTACTAGAAAAAATAGCAATGTTGAAATGAACTTCAATCATTATAATTAAAACACCGTAATCATATATTGCAATCATAATACCGTAAACGCAATACCGTAATATCACAATACTGTATTACATATTAATGATTTGTTATTTAAGGTTGCAGCAAGAGGTGGCGCACACTCCGGACCCGCTTTTTTACCGTGGCATCGTGAGTATCTCAAAAGGTATCCTGTTGATTTAATTTTTCTTTCTTTAAAAAAATGCCAATTAACAGGTGAAAATTCCATTTTCACACAATAAAAAAGACACATGAAGAATGTTTTTTCATTAATTTCCAACTATTTGACAAAATCATTTCGAGAATTCCAAAAAAAAAAANATATATATATATATATATATATATTATTTATTTATTTATTTATTTATTATTATTACTTATTATTA